ACCTTGAGCCGCTCTCCACTGCTGCTGTGTCAAGGAATCTGCAGGCAGACCAGAGCTAGTAAGATCTAGGAAAATGGCTGAAAGGGTAGACTATGGTAGATATATAACGATGCAAGTATTTTGATGCTGTGAATGTTGAATGATGATTGTCGATGTTGCTGGAACTGGGTATAGAAAAGGAACAAATGGCAACAAAAATTCTCAAATCATTATTAAATTGAATATTGGAGATATAAAATGTGGAGTATCAAACCCAAGTGAAGAGGTATATGGGCAGTTCCGAATTTCCCTGATCCTATGTACTCATCCAGGCTAAGCTCATGCAGCTGTTTTGGGTCACCTGGGACGGGTACCTTCCACTTCCTCACAGAAGCTACGATTACTTGATCCATCCTGGTGAATAGGCTCAATGGGGGCAATTTGTTTCTGTAGAATGGAGTGCCTACCATTAAAACAATAATGGAAACTGCCACACCCATTGTTGGAAGGGCATAACCAAGGGCTCAACTCGCATCATCTTGTATGTACCCCTAGAAGGTGCTTGAGAAAATGGCACCAAAAAAATGTTAAACATCCACCAATTAAAGAATGATAGCTTTTGGTCTTCTTTAGGTTAAAAATCACCAAATTTATCAGTCCCATGGTGGATGTATTAGGCTTGTTTCCACCAGAACCAGCTGCTAATGCTATTATGTACAATGCGCCATAGAATATGTCCTTCTGTAAAGCAGATGCCTTTTGTCACATCCCGCTTCTTTGATACCATGTCCACAAGATGGAGGCCTCAGTGTTGGCACCGAAACAGCCAGGGTTAACAGGGACATTTCCTGTTTAATTACACAAGTTAGAGAAAAAATGAAGTGATTAGTTTGAATACACCAGGACAGCATGCTAATATTGTCACTTGCATCCTTCTTGAAAAAAGAAAAATGAAGCATATCTGAGCAGGTTAACAATACAACGCACCCAGGACTTCTTTTTCCACCCGTTATTTCATAACAGTCACCCTTGTCTCTGTGACCTCATCCCTTGGTACCATAAGCGCAATCCGTGACCCAGAATCATCTATGCCATCACATCCAACATATATCAGTGCCTGTCACTACAGCTGAATAAGAATGACAAACACAGAGCTCAACATACCTCTACATTTCTGTACAGAATTTTCAACAATCTGCACATCGCATTTAAGATGTATGCAGGGCTGGTGCATAAATAATCAAACTGTGCTAAATAATTAATTGGTAATGCAGGATGGATCAAACTTGTGAGTACCACTATACAAGATAGAGTAGAAAGCAAATAGAAAGGTGACTTTTGAGGCAAGAACATATTAAGGCCAGATGCGAAATAGTCAAGGGGCAAAAATTAATGGCAACGGAAGAATTTTCATTTTATCATCTGGATAACCTTTTCATGTGAGATTGAACTACGCCTCTGCTCCACTGTCTCTCTGCTTCACTTAATCCCAAACAAACGTGTAGTAACATCCAGTGAACTTTAAATGCCACGCTGCTACACAACAGACCATAGTTCAGGTACGTAGCCCGCTAGCTTCATCTGCCAATCTAATTCAGCCAGCAACGAGTAAATCTCATCAGAAGCTGCATGAGATTTATCAGATGCCGCAAATTGATGAACCTGACTTTCCATCTCGATCCAACTGGAGCCAGGGCATCTTTTTTCTACCCCCTGCTCCTTCATGGTTAACCTGATCTTTGCAGCCTCGCCCCATCTGTTAACTTCAGCATTCATGTTAACCAAAAGAGTGTAATATCCACTGTTGCCAGGGTCCAAAACCATCAATTTATTAGCAGCAACCTGAGCAATCTCCAAGTTCCTGTGAAGCTTACATCCACTTAGCAACGCACCCCAAATAACAGCATTAGGTTCCAACTTCATTGTTCTTATCAATTGCAGTGCTTCTTCAAGCAAGCCAGCTTTGCTCAAGAGATCAACCATGCATCCATAATGTTCAACTCCAGGAGGGATGGAATGATCTCGTGTCATACTCGCAAACCTCTTACGACCTTCTTCAATAAGTCCTGCATGATTGCAGGCACTTAAAACACTTACAAATGTAACCCCATTTGGCTTAATTTTCTCCCTCTCCATCTTGTCAAACATTGCCAGTGCTTCTTCTGCATATCCATGAACAGCAAGCCCTTCAATCACTGAATTCCAACAGAACAAGTTCTTCTCTCGCAACTTGAAGAACATCAAAAGGGATCTATCTAGACTCCCACACTTGGCATACATATCAATCAATGCCGAACCTATATAGACATCAAGGTTAAATCCATGCTGCATAATGTAGTAATGTATTTCCTTCCCCAAGTCAAGGGCTCCAAGATGAGCACAAGCTGAAATCACAGTTGCCATGGTCACTTCATCTGGGCCAATCCCATGTTTTGCCATCTCATTAAAAACCCCCAATGCTTCTCTAAATCTCTTATTCTGAGAATAACAATTGATCATTGTAGTCCATGAAATAATATCTCTTGCAGGCATTTGGTTAAACAACAACTCCGCCACATCAACCTCTCTCAATCTTGCATACCCATCAATCAAAGTATTCCAAGTAGCTAAATTCCTATCAGGCATCATATCAAACAATCTCCCAGCAGAACTCATATCACCGACCCGCACAAGACCAGAAACCATTGTAGTCCAAGCAAAGACATCTCTTTCAGGCATTTCATCAAACACCCTTACAGATTCTTCAATTCTACCCATACTTGAGTAAAAATCAACCAAAGAAGTTTGAACAAACACGTGTGAATCAAACCCATTTCTCCAAACATGACCATGAACAGCTTCTGCAAACCTCAACTGTGAAACCAAGCCACAAGCTTTTATCAACGAAGGAAATGTATAACTTGTAGGAGAAACATTAGCTCTTAGCATTTGAACGTACAATTCAAGAGCCTGAACTGGTTGATAGCTTTGAACAAACCCTTTAATCATTGCATTATACACAAAAACATTAGGATTTTCCATCTGGGTATAGGCTAAAACTGCATAATCCATACGGTTAAAAGTAGAAAGGGCTGATATAAATTGATTCATTAAGTAACAATCTTGGTTTGTATTGGTTTTCACCATGACAGCATACATAGATTGTAGCTGTTTCAGCTTGGTGCAGTGCTTTAAGTGGTTAACTATGGTTTGAATTGAATAACAGTTAGAAGACATTCTATCTTCCGGATTTTCTTGTGGGTTTCTTGATTCTGAGACAATCTTTTGCTATTTAAGGATGGATAAAGTTACCAGATTATGACAAGTTCTACCCTTTTGAGGTTAAACTTTCATGTCTGTCTTGACGGAATCCATTCCCAAGTCTAGGCCTAAGCATGGATGTTTTTTTACAGGTTCGAGACCTCTGGTGTAAAAAAACTTTACTCCTAAATAGATTAAAACTCTCAAGGTTATTGAAAGAAAAATATCGGGTAAAACTTGTATCTAGGGCTGGCCTGTGGAGGTATTGAATGAAAGTGAAAATCTTGTTTGAATTTCATATGAATTTGTGTGTGTATACACTGTTTTGATGGCTTAAAATTGAATGAATAGATGCTTTTGTGACAGTCATGAATTTGTGTGTGTAGAGGCTGTTTCAATAACTTAAAATTGGATGAATAGATGCTCTGCTCTTACAACAATGAATTGGCGTTCAAAGGCTGCTGCGATGGCTTTAAAGGTGGACAAATAGAGGCTGCTGTGACAGCCATGAATTCGAGTATCCAAGGGCAGTTTGATAGCCTAAGAGTGTACTGACATAGGCTGCTGGGTGTATTTGCACTCCGTTTTGAAAATGTTTTAAATTTTTTAAATTTAATTTAATTTTTAATTTAATATTTTTTTTAAAATTTTCAAATAATTTTATTATATTAATATAAAAATAATTCTTTTAAAATAAAAAAATATTATTTCAAAATATTTTAAAAATAATAATTACCTCATTTTTTAAGATACTTACAAGTTAGATAACCTACAAGTGTACAAACATGATACTATGACAACCATCAATATGTGAGGATGTTGTAATGATAACAAAAAAAATATTTAAATAAGGACTGCAATAGCATCCATAAATGTAAGAAATGATGCATCATAAAAGAAAAATTATGAATGTATAGAGATAAAGGTTGTTATGGTCATAAAAAAATACAAGTACGCTAAAGTTATTACATTAAAAATGTAAAGGTGTAATAATGTGGATATTGAAAGCTAACATATTCAAATAATAAATTGTAGGAAAATATAACAACATTGTAAATCTTATTAAAATTAATCAAATTCCTAGTTTAAAGAATTTGAAAGGACTTGTGAAATTAATTACAATTTAATTGAATTGTTTTGGTATTTTATCTTAAATGCTATCATGCAAAGAAAAGTATGGATAAGATTGAATTAAACTAAGCAGGTAAGTTAAAGAAATTACACATCAAATTAATGATTTTATAAAAATTTGAGAGTTGATGGAAAATTGAACCAAGATGTGTGCAAAATTTTTAAAAATGTAGATGAAAAATTTTGATGTATGGTATAGATTCCTTGAAATGAGTTTAATTGTATAGTAATAAATACACCTCTTGGAAATGTCATTAGGGCATTCGTAATTGAGACTTACCTGAAGGGAGCTCGTGGAACTAGAATATCGGGTAAGTGTCTAATACCTCGTTCTATTTAGATTTTATAATTTTTTTATTGTTATTTTTCTTAAATGTTGTATAATTGATGACTAAATTTAAAAATGAAAATCATAAGAATTATGTTTTGAGGTTGAATTATCAAATGACTCGACTTTAAATAAGAAATTATGAAGTAAATTTGAAAAAGAGATTTGAATTAAATTAAAGTCCTGTGTGTTTGTTAGAATGTAGTTTTCTTATAAAGTGAATTATTTTTTGATATTTGGTAGTATTATAAAAAATAAGTTAGAAAATATTTTCCAGTATTTGATTATGTTATGAAAAATAAGTTGAAAAATAGCTTATTATATTATATTTTTTTAAGTTTATTAAAATAATAAGAACAAATCTTACAAATTAAAAAGAAAAAATCTTATAAATTAAAAAGTTAAATGAGAATGAAATTGAAAAAAATATTTAATTTAATAAATTATCTCAAATAAAATAAATAATAATCAAAATAATAGAGATCAAATATAACAAATAAAAAAAATTAAAATATGATGAAATTAAAATAATAATAATAATAATTATAATTTCATAAATTATTTCAAATAAAATAGTAATAATCAAAATAATGAGGATTATATTTAATAGATAAAAAATTTCAATTAAACAAATAATAAGAGAAAAGCAAAAAATAATCATAAAAATAAGAACCAAAGTTAATATAAAAATTAAATTTAAAATTTGAAGGGATGAAATTAAAAAAATAATTAAAACAAAATATATATATCAATCAAAAGTTTAAGGACCGGATTTGATATAATCAACAAGTAATATAATATTTCTAATTTTTTCACAACTTCTGGATGATGTTTTCCGCCTAAAATAAAAGAAAAACACTTTCTTGGAAATCAAGTCAAATTTTCCTTTGATTAGAAAGTGTTTTTCATTGATTAATTTTCTAATAGCAAATAAACACAATAAAGTTTGGAAAGTGATTTTCAGAAAACCACTTTCTAGGCAAATAAACGCCCTATAAGTATAAAGATGTAATTGCCTATACTCGTTGACTAAAAATTTTTCAAACACATAGCTTATCATGTTAACGGTAACTAAAGAATTGATGTCAGTATTAATTAATATATTGATAGACATGTAAGATGTTCTGACACTTATCTATTATGTTAATGGTAGCTAAGGAATTAATATTGATACTAATCGATAAATTGACAAACGTGTAAGATATTGTTTTGATACTTATCCCATCATGTTAACGTGTATTAAAAATTGATATCTCTATTAATCGATTTATTGATAGGCATGTAACATGCTTTGGTACTTAGCTTATTATGCTAATTGTAGCTAAGGAATTGACATCGATATTAATTGATATATTGATAGACATGCAAGATGTTCTAGTACTTAGCCTATCATGTTAACGGTAGCTCATGAATTGATATCGATATTAATCGATTTATCGATAAACATTTAAGATGTTATGATATTTAGTTATATTGATAGATATGTAAGATATTATGATATTTAGCCTATCATGTTAATGACAACTAAGAAATTGATATCCATATTAATCAATATATTGACATACATGTACTTAACCTATCATGTCTGATGATAGCTAAGAGAATGATATTGGTGTTATCAGTTTTATTGATAGAACATAAAAAGATGTCCTGATACTTAGTTAACCATGTTGACGATGATTAACGAGATGAATTTAATTTATTCAACGATTTATATATACAGTGATTATAATAAAGAATAAAATATTGAGGTAGGTTACAATGATTATAATAGAGATTAAAATATACAATGAAAAGCAAGGCAAATACCTACAAAATTAGGCCCTAACAAGCCACGCCCTCTAGTCTTAGACCATGAAGGATCGACTCGATAAGTATTTGCCTTTGATTTTAGGTTTGATTTGACCTTGCTCTTTAATGCTTGTCTCATTAGTATTTGCCATGGTTTTCCGGCCTAATTGGTCCCCGTATGTCGGGGTTTGTTTCAATGGGTATTTACCTATTTTTAGGCTTGGTTGGTCTTGACATGTCGTGGACTATTTTAGTGTTTATTTGCATTGATTTTTAGGCTCTAGTTGGTGACGACCCGACATGGCCTGTTTTGGTAGGTATTTGCTTTAAATTTCAGGCTTGGTTTTTCCCTACCCTTGAAGGCATGTTTCAGCAAGTATTTGCCTTTGTTTTCAAGCTCAGTTTGTTAAGGCCTATTATGACTTGTTTCAGAAGTATTTTGTCTTATTTTTTTATATGTATTTGCCTAGCTTTTCAAGCTCAATTAGCCCATGCCTATCTCAATATATATTTACCTTGGTTTTGGGGCCTGATTTATCCAGGTTCATTAGGAGCCATTTCAGTGTGTATTTGCCATGGGTTTTAGGCTTGGCTGGTTTTGGCTATCGGAGCCTATTTTAATAAGTATTTTCCTTGTTTTTTGGACTTGGTTGGTCATGGTCTATGACCAGTTTTAAGATATTTTTTACTTGGTTTTTAGGCTAGGTTTGTCTTGGCTTACAAATCCCATTTTAGTGAGTATTTGCCTTGGTTTTCGAGTCTAGTTGGTCTTAATACATCGGGGCCCCTTTCTATATGAATTACCCTTGGTTTTTGGGTTAGTTGTCCCTACTTATTAAGGCCCATTTATGCGGTTATTTGCCTTGGTTTTTAGGCATGCTTGGTAGTGACTTGTTGTGCTTGTTTTGGTGGGTATTTGCATTGGTTTTCATGTTTGGTTGGTTATGGACCTTGATGGCCCATTCATAGGTATTTTCTTTAGCTTTTAAGCTCGATCGGTAACGGTCCATCATGACCTATTTTTGTTGGTTCTTACTTTAATTTTCAGGTTGACTGATCTTGACCTATTAGCGGCCATTCCAATATGTAATTGCCTTGGTTTTTTTTTTTTCTAAGTTGATCCTAGATTATCGAGGCCTGTTTCGATGGGTATTTGACACGATCAAAGAGTTGATGTCTTATCCCAAGTGCAGGAGTGTCAAAGTTGTTAATGCCTATTTCGGTGGGTAGTTGCCTTGGCTTTTAGAATACACACAAAATGCCCTATTCAATGGGTATTTGCCTTGGCTTTTAGAATTCGTTATTATAATAACATCAAGGCCTTGTTAATGCCTATTTCGGTGGGTAGTTGCTTTTTTCTTTTAGGGCGTGGTTGGTCTCGACACATCGAAGATTGTTTTTGTGTGTATTTTGGTCCTATCCCTTCAGAGTTTGTTTTAGTGTATATTTGCCTAGTTTTTCAGACTGATTTGGTCCTAACCTGTTTTAGTGAATGTTTACCTTGGTTTTTACTCCTGATTCGTCCTAGTCCATCAAAGGCCATTTCATTGTGTTTTTGTCT